ACTAATATAGTTAATAGTATATAATATTAGTTAGGTGAATAATGGGCAATTATGAATTATGAGGAAATATGTTTTTGAAAGACAGACGGCAGTTTAATATTCCTCCGCGTTACCGGATCTCTAAAATTCCGTCTGCTATTAAAATTAGCTCTTTTTATTGGTTAGTTTGATAGTTGTTGCTTGCCAGTCGTCTTCAGCTGAACTACAACTAGGACTTGATTTAGTCGTAGTTAGAACTTCTACTACGTTGTTTGTGAATACAATTTGAAGTTGAAGCTGCAACTAAGACTAAATGAAGTTCTAGTTCGAAGTTCGACTAAAGTTCGTTTTAAGAATACGGGCGTTAAAGTCATAATATTGAACCACCTGACCATAAACAATTTATTACGACGGGAGCAGTGAGATACCCTTTTCTGGGTCGACCGAACCTCTCGTAAACGACCAATTTCCCCGGTACCATGTGGTGGTCGCTTAAGGGAGCTTCAGCTTCTGTATGATGTCAATGATGATGATGATGATGATGATGATGATGATGTAAGTTTTTATTCTCGATTAAATTTAGATTTTTTGTTTTATAGAAATTAATACCTGGTAGAAACCTCTCAATTCTGTTTTTTGTTACCTATAAAATAACGCAAATGTTACGGGGCCATCGGCCCTGCACCCCGGCCGGGGCCCTCGAAGGCCCCTCATCCCATCATAGTTACTCGCTGCGCTCGCAAGGCTTGACCCCCCTCAAATTTTACCTTGCTTGCACCCCCGAATTCCCATATTCACACTTTTTATGGGTATGTGGGTGTTTATTTTTTACTTTTGAGTTTTTATTAGTATTTCTACAACTTATTGATATTATATTTTTTTTTCATGTTTTATTTATATTTGTTTATATAATTTCTTTCTTTCATATCCTTAAAACGTATAGGTATACATTTGGGAAGCCGGTGTATGGAAAGTTGCTATTAAAATTTGGAACCGACAATAAGTTGAACCAACAATTAGATATGACCACGATTGTAAGTATACGCTATCTTTACTCTTTTAAAATTGAAATTATATAGTAATTATTGCAATTATAAATATGGATAAAAATGTTATCCTTAGAAAATCCTCAAAATCCAGTAACTAAATACTGCGTGGAAGTGGTTTGGTGCAGCGAGAACGGTTTAGTTTCCCAGCCTCGAGCCTGGTTTCAATCCCGGCTGTGCAGCTCGCTTAGTCCTTGAGCAAGGCTCTATCTGTATTGTTGATAAGTAGGTACCTACGGAGGTTCGAGTGCGAAATGAGCTGATACATTTTCATGAAGTAAACGAAAATGATTTTCCCCATAGGCATTATGACTAGGATAATTATGTGAAAATGCGCTCTGAGACTTAGTTGTATAGAGCGCTATATAGAAACCTATTATTATTATTTATTTATCTATTATTATTATTATTATTATTATTATTATTATTATTATTATTATTATTATTATTATTATTATTATTATTGTTGTTGTTGTTGTTATTACTATTATTAGTATTAGTGTTGTTGTTGTTGTTGTTTTCGTTATTATCATTATTATTATTGTTATTAAATACAAGGTAAAAAATGATCATCTCAGCACATAATATTTAACAAAAGAGCTGCATTTCAACTTCCACTCTAGTTCCTATTATAGCTATGGTAACTATGGTGATAGTGTAAACATAATAATTAAGTTTTCAATATTGACAGCCCAAACACAAAACAAAATGACAATACTTAAACTGTATAGAGTGACATTGTATTTTCACCTTTATTAGCTTAACACAGTCCCCGACAGTATACAACAAACTCTGACTACCCAATCGAGCTTTGTGTAACAAAATCTATTGTCCATTGCATAGATAAGGAGAATTGAATGTACATGTACTAAGTTGTACCTCTTTCCTAATTATAAATCTAAATTGGTGGGATTAAAAGTGGAATTATTAAAAAAAAGTACAGTACTACGCTTTTGTGGTCTAGTGGACTAACAGTACATCAGGTTAATGTAAAAAGTGCAAATACGTGTTTGTCGTTCCATCATTGGTAACACTTACTACCCTTATAACATTTCTCTTGACAAATGTTTGCCTTGTTTTTTCGCCAGCTGATCTGACAATGTTTCAACCATTTAAATTCAATAGGCTTACATCATTGGATCAAAGTAAATTTAATGAAACTTATTGCATTAAAGTGCAAAACATATATAATTACCCGTAATAAAAATTTAATAACTTTGGAGAGGGTCTGTGAACACAAGCATCTTGGACTTACAATAGTTCCCGATCTGAAAGGTCTCAAATTTTCAAATTAATACGTCCCGGAGCCAACCGTTCCCTGGGTAGGGCCTATGATAAAACGCTTCGGAGGTAGAACTGAAGCTTCTCTGTTTCATTTTAAAATTTATGCCGACCTATCCTAGAATAATTATGCGGTCCCCGCATAGAACCCAAACCCTAAAAGATCGCGTGTGTCGAAAGTGTTTAGAAAAAAAAAAAACACTCGTTTTTTTTTATTTTGGGCATCCAGGAAATTATGTTTTGATCCACAATATCTCTACTATCATATGCGTTGCTCTGCTCTTAGTTTAACTTTGCCGTCCACAAGATGCAAATAGCTTCTCCGAACTTAATTCATTCGTTCTTTTACAGTCAATATCCATTGAATTTTTACAATTTTTGACTGTTTACTGTACTCTTTATTGATTGTGCTGTCCTTTGGCTTGTTTTTTGCATGTGTGCAAATGAGCCTTGGCTACAAAAAAAAAAATAAATAAAAATAAAAAAAATAAAAAAACCTGTCGACAATGATAATAGACAGCAGAAGATCCCGGGTTCGAATACAGATTGGGTTCGAATGGGTTGGTAATTTTGTTCGTACTGTCAGATTCGTCTTCTCTACCGTTTTAGTCTAGATTAATACCAAAATCAACTAACTTCACAGATCAAATTTAAAAGTATGAAAATATACATCCAAAAATTGATTGTATATTGGTAATCGCCTTTTACACGGGTCGGGTGGCAACGGGCTGGGTGGTACAAAATGTCTGGTGGCGAAAGGCCGGGTGGCAACTGGATAAGGATGGCAAAAAGTCTGGGTGGCAACGGGCCTAGAGTGCCAAAGATATAATGCTATCTACTTTAGACATTTAAACATTTGTTAGAGCTATAATATTGATCACTGGAACTAAAAAAACTCTATTCTATTTTGCTGTGTACATACTGTCTCTTATACACATCTAATTTATGATGGCTGTGAGCTCGCACTCTTATAGCAAGTACATTTGGTAATTTGGCAATGCTGCTGATGCCCAAAAAATAACGTTGCTCTACAAGCTATTTTGTGGTTTTGGTCATTGGTTAATAGATCTTTTTTGGTCATTGGGTAATAGATTTCTTTGTATGGGCTAATATACTCAACTGCCTCTATTATATTGTTGATTGATTAATAGAAATTTAAAAGGAAAAATCTGCACACATGTACACTAGCATTTTTTTTTTCATTTTTAACATATTTTAGTTTTTGTACAAATGAACATTCTAATTATTTAAAAAATTCTATCTTATTAACTTTTCCAAATTTTTTGTCAAGCAGCTCTCAAATATTTTAGAATGTTTATTTATACAAAGAAAAATGTTAACACCGAGGCGACTTTCGGTTCCTTACAACACAGTAGGTAGTTTTCGCCGCACGACGTTAACCTTAACTTTAACGTTAGTACCCAACATATGCAGCACGATAGCTCCGCCCATTTGTAAACAAATCGAAATACGCATACGCACACCCCTAACTAACGTAAACCGAGCACGTAGAATCCTGAAATTAACGTACTCCGCAACGCAAGATGAATAAATTATCACGTCATCCGTTAACGTTAAGGGTAACGTCGTGCTGCGAAAACTGCCTGGTGTTAACTGACCGCGCCATCTATGTGACGAGTCCTGTTAGTGGTAGTAATTGATGGCAATTATGAACCACTGCCGAAACCCGTAAAAACTTACGCCAATGTGTATTTAAGCATGGGCGATGATTTAAGCAAAGTTTAATATAGTCATCTAAAGCCTCGTCTGTTGAAAGGTGCATACCCGAAGCGATAAACGCTGAATACAGAGATGTACCTCAGTTTAACGCGCGGACCGCTCTTGTTTGTATGGACAGCCATTACTCTACTGCCTCTATAATACTGCCCTCATCGGAGCTTTCGACATTAGGAGACCTTGTTTACTTTTACAATTTGCACCTTTTTCTGCTTGCTTGCATAATGTTGCTATCTATTTTTCTGCTATGCATTATCGTATTTTTTGTTATTTATAAAGTTTATAAAAACAGGATTGATGTGTGTTCTTCCAGTTGTCTTTCCTTTAATTCTTGCTGGAACAATTTTCCTGCGCTATATATCTGATGACGTGGCAAAAATGATACTGCTATATTTTATTGCAACATTTTTGCTGTGATGACAATTTTAGGGTAGGCCTACAGTCCGTTGCCACCCATAGTACCCCAGACCTTTTTGCCTTTTGGCACCTAGGCATTTTGTTACCTGATCCATTGCCACCCGGTCATTTTCCACCCGGCTTTTTGCCACACTAGACCACCCGGCCTTTATTCATCCGGCCATTTGGCAGTCTAGACCCGTTGCCACTTAGGCCCTTTGCAACCCGGCCTTTCGCCACACGCACGTTTGTTATCCGGCCTTATAAAAACTCGGAAGGAAATAAACCATTAGGGTCAAGCAAGAAATTAGTTTATTCGTGATTGTTAATACAGTGATACATAGCCCAATATTATTTGTAGTATTCCGCTAACGATAAGTGATGCAGTTTTAGTCTAGATTAATACCAAAATCAACTAACTTCACAGATCAAATTTAAAAGTATGAAAATATACATCCAAAAATTGATTGTATATTGGTAATCGCCTTTTACACAGAGGTCGGGTGGCAACGGGCTGGGTGGTACAAAATGTCTGGTGGCGAAAGGCCGGGTGGCAACTGGATAAGGATGGCAAAAAGTCTGGGTGGCAACGGGCCTAGAGTGCCAAAGATATAATGCTATCTACTTTAGACATTTAAACATTTGTTAGAGCTATAATATTGATCACTGGAACTAAAAAAACTCTATTCTATTTTGCTGTGTACATAAAACAACTCTATTCTATTTTGCTATGTAGGCCCTACCAAACCTCTGCTATCTCAGAAATGTAAAGGCTATTCTTATTTTTATTTTTTTATTGCCAAACAAAAACATTACATAAAAATGATACAGAAAATGAAAACCAAGACTAACTGAGCTGATTGGCAGGAACACAAAATTGAACTAAATCACTATAACAAAAAGTCTGTGTCCCTTATCAACCAAGTTTTACATAAAAATAAGCCCATTAAATACAGTTAAAATGGTTAATTGGTATAGAAATAAATAATAAAATTATGAATCGGATCATAAAATTGAACAAGTAGAATTAAATACATTAGCGTATATGAGGCGTGTTGTGGCAAAATGGTTGAGTTGCTGCACAGGCCAGTATTGAGTAAATGAGCTATAAAATATGGGAGGTCAAATATTGCCTTAAAAATCCATTTTTTTTTTTACTATAGATCAACAGTTTAATTAAATTATGTCCCAAAGTATTAGTTCTGGAAATGGTCAACAAATCGTTTATTTAACGTTATTTTGATAGTTAATTCTATTTAATGTATGCACAAATAACTTTGGAAGGCAATTACTGAAAATCAAGTTTATCTTGACTCTGAGAGTGCTATACATTCACTTTCCAATAAATTAGGCTTGAAATGTCCAATTTCAATGAATGACCCCTCATTTTAAAGATCACATACTCAGGTATCAGAAAAAAAAACCAATAACATTAATTTAAAATTAGCTTAACTATTTTGCCAAAACATGCCTTATATGGTAAATATATAATAATTAAATTCATTACAATTAATGCATACACGCGTCCATACAGAAAATCTGGATTGAGGATAGTTGGTAGATTTTAGAATTAGGTAGAGAGTTTTACGAAAGAGAAAATTACAAATTAAAGAAGATAGAAGATATTTTCTACGAGCCGAGAGATGTGGCCAGTTAAGAAATTAAAGTCTTGTGTCGTATTTCATTACACCACATCTTTTTGTTAAAGCAAGTCTTGTAACTCTCCTGTGTACTGCTTTGTAAGCTATGTTATAACTTCTATCTTATTTTGCTATTTTACAGATAAGTCACTGGGGTACGTTGAAACAACGCATGAAATTCCAGCAAGTGGAGTTGTAAAATACACATTTGAAACTAATAGTTTTCCTTCATTATTGAATTTACAGGTAGGCCTCAGCAATCAGTTTGGTCTTTGTTACTTTTTTGTGCTATTGTTTGATCTGCAAATTCTTATATGGGCCTTATAACAGTGCAATACGTTCATTTTAAAAGAAATAATCAAAATGTTGTGTATTTTGCTAATTTTTTTTTTGTGAAATAAAAACATAGATTTGGACAATATTTGACACAAACCCATGTGTGATAGGGTATATCACACCCTTCATGTCTTATTTGTCAATACCATTTTTCTCCACATAGACGTTTTGACAAATCAATTTTCCCAAATTTGAATACATTTATGTTCTTCTGACTTGTTCTGATCATCTAAAAAAAACTTTATTTAAAGGACAAATATATAAAAGACAGCCATGTAGATGCCTATTATTCTACTATAGGACGGCAAATGGTCAATCATAGGGGCTCAAAAATTAAGCATAGTTTCCCTTAGCAACCAGTGTTTTGGTAGTCCAAAATTGTTTAAATGAGAAAGCACATTAGATCTAAGCATTTTTCACAGATGTATTGTGTGCGTTAACAGACAGGATGTTTCACTTCCGACATGTAGGCCTAACAGGCTTTAGGAGTCATGAACTGTGAAATATTGCATTTTAAGTGGGCTTCTTTAGTTTAACTTTAATTTATCACCTACACTATCAGTGGCGTAAGGCCCGTGAGCCCTCAAGGGCCTCTGCCAGAAGGGGCTCCGTAGACGAGTTGATTGGCCGAGCGGTTAAGTCAGGGGCACCGTAACCTTCAGCTCTAATATCGGCGCTGGTTCAAACGGCTCACTCGCCAATGGTTCTGGTGGTGGAACAAGTCTTCTCGGATAAGGACTTTAAACCGTAGGTCCAGTGTACACAATTGGCTCGTGTGCACTTTAAAGAACCCAGTACATCATTCGAGAAGAGTAGGGAGTTACGGTGTACTGGTCCATTAAGTTCCCTGTTGTTAAATGGCGCTCGTGCCTAATGAAATGAAATCAAATGAAATGTAGGGTGTAACCACTACCCAGCACGTAAAAGCATATACTTGACCAGTGTGCTTTCAGGGAAGAAGTTCCATTTTCTTATAAGAGACCATGTTTTTAAATAGCACTGACAGTGTTTAACAATTAAAGTTTCTCAGCATTATTCATATAATTTCACCCATTTTTCAGCCACTTCGTTAGCGAAAATACACTGCTGACATTTTCTCGCCACCGGGCCCCATGACCTCCGCCGCTTACAATATTTCAAGCTGTCCCATCCGCTCAAGCTAATTTGTTGTCTTATTGGTCAAATATGAAACATACTCCCTTATCTGAAATATACAAAATTAAATTAATTGAATCAGTATATTTCAACAGGCACAGCAAGGGCCGTATTTCTCTGATTCCATTGAAGTCGAAGCAGCTGTATCACCGAGTAATTCATTCATACAAATTGGCTTGGACACATCGCATTTGTCAGCAGGAAACGTTGCAACATTCTGGCTCCGCTCCACTGAAATCCCTTCTTACATTGTTTACCTGGTAAGAATTTGTTATATTATTTGATCCAAGGTTTACAAATAATGTAATTGTTATTTTTAATAATGATGATGGTGATGATGATGATGATGATGATGATAATAGTAATAATAATAACAGCAACAACAGCAGCAGCTGCTTCGGCAACAGCAACAAAAGCAGCAGCAGTAACAGCATCACCAGCAGCAACTGCTACAACAAAAACAACACCACCACCAAAAAAAAAAATGAAAAATAAAAAAAAACAGCAACATCAACAACAATAATAATTATTGATAGTATCATCAATTTACTATAGGCCTATTGTTATTCATTTCAAAATACTATATATTTTAATTTTCTTACAGGTGCTGCTTAAAGATATTGTAATCAACATATAGTTCCCATATTTAAAATTGTTATTAAAGCTTTCGTTATTTTATTTTAATAGATTATATCCAAAAGTAGAATTGTTGCTATGGAAACCCTTTACAATCTGACATCTACCCAAAATAGACTAACCGTCGACATAACACCAGATATGGCACCATTAGCCAAATTAGTGGCGTACTATGTTCGGAAAGACAAAGAAGTCGTTGTTGATGTGTTTAACTTCAAAGTGGATGGTTTGTTTAAGAATCAGGTGATTAATAATTTCCTCTTGGATTCACCATTTTCGTCTTCAAATGACAATCAATTATGCATTTATTTATGTGTGTATGCTTTGTTTGAAAAAGACATTTTACACAATGTGCCTCAAATACTATTCCGAAATACCCTTCTGGTACTTGACATCCTCTCTACATGTTAACTCTCCTCCCTCCTGATCGGTAAGTCTAGCTACGGTTTTGGGTAGCAGGTAACGTTTCAATATGTTTAGATCTGCAGGAAACAGTATCACTTATAGCGGCCATCAACAGATAGTAAAACTTTTCCATATTGCATCATGTGAAACATTTCTTACAGAAGAATCTGTTTAAATTTTCCATATCAACAAAATATTTTTCCAAAGACATTAAAACATTGCCTAAACCTAGATGTATACTGTCCAACTCTGCATTAGCAAGCACCCGCTGTATACTGTAGGCTACTTTTATATAGCTTTACAATAGATTGCGGTAAAAAAATAACATCACAGTGTCTTCTTATAATATATAATTGTCAAAGTTTTGTCTGACTATAAGTATATAAAAGCTCATCCCCTTATTTATTTCTGGGAATTTTGAGCTAGTCATCCTTGGTAAATGTTTCTTTGCTATCCATTCAATGCGTATAATACTTCTACAGCAAGCCTAATTGTTCATGTACTTATACCAATTAATATTCTTTTATTCAGGTTAGTCTATCGTTCAGTAAAGATATTCTTGAACCTGGTGACAACATTACAGTTGATGTGACAGCAACCAACGGGTCTCAGGTTTACCTTTTAGCTGTCGATCAGAGTGTCTTACTTCTGAAGTCCAGCAATGACATCACTCAACGAAAGGTAAAGACATAATAGGTAATAACAATAATACCTGTAATAGGAATATGAATAAAAATATGATAACATTGTTATTGCTTTTCTTGGTAATGCCATTGACTTTGTCTTGCCATTGCCATTGTTCAGAACACTTACTTGCTTGTTACTTGATTATTCGAGTCTTCTTAAGAGATAACCTTCACATAGAAAGTAAATGCAATGCAAGTATGTCTTCAGAGTATAGGTTTTAACACGTGTTTTTATGTTTTTAGGTCCTTAGAGAATTAGAAACTTTTGATGGAAGTGATAATATTGGCATGTGGTTTGATCGGTTTCCATACCTAACAACAGGCATAACTGCTAATGATATCTTTAAGGTAAGTAAAGGTCAGTGAAACAAAATAATTGTTAGTCGTGGACGTCGTAGGCACCATAAACCGGGATCGATTGAAATTGAAATGACTCCACCTGGCCGGACCCCATAAAACATTCGACCATTGGAGGGCGTACGACGTCAACAAACATCAGATGACGTCATAACCCTTTGAAAATAACAACGATCCAGTGAGTTGAAAATAGTTGTGTTAAAACTCGAAACGTTCTGAGTAAGTACTCCGTTCATCACATTGGTTTTACAAAAAAGAAAATTGCATCCTAAGTATTTATTACCAGATGATTTTTTTTTAACAATTGCTATTTGCATTTCAGAAGTACAAGATTATATCTAATCAAGTTTGATAAAAAAAAATATATATATATATATATGATTTGCAAAAGAAAATCAACGAAACAAAATATTGGCAACTGATGGCGTTGTCTAATTTAATTTGGTGTTTCAATGTGTTCCATATGTGTTGATCCAATGACCGGGGTAGTAATGTGAAGCGCTTAGAGGCCTTGTAAAGGCATGAAGCGCTATATAAGAACGACATATTATTATTATTATTATTATTGTCTTGAGACACTGCAGAATGCCGTAGTACAACTTATCAATATCCTACACAATATGGAAGATAATAACTTGACATGTATATTTATTGTAGTTCTGTAAATTTCAAATGTTAACATATTCCATGTCATTTGTGGATAACATGACATAACTTGTAACACTGCAGAATGTCATACCAAAACATATCCATATTTCTATCGCAAGATATTATATAGCCTGTGATATGGCATACGCCTTTTGCCATGGTTATTATCCATACTAGTGTTAATAGCCGTCTTGACGAAAGAAACTTGACAGTCATTGACGAAGTCGTTGACATTTAAGGATGCTGTATGAATGCACTTAAGCTGATAATACTTCAATTTCAGCATGAATATTTTAGTACACATTAAGATCACTATCTAAAACTACCAGTTCTATCCAGATTGTAAAACAAAAAGATAAAGAACTTCCTATATATTATATGCTGTGCCTATAATATTGTGATAATGTGATGTCACCATGACCATATTTAGGCATATTACATGTTTTTTTTATTTTGTCAAAAACTATTTTATAGCTTAGAGAGGCTACTTACAACTCTTCAGTGAGAATATGTTCAAGAAAGAAAATTGAAATTTCTTTAAGCTTCAATGTGATTTGTATTTTTTTTCTAGAATATTGGAGTTCTGGTATTAACAGATGCTATGATTCCTGAAAGAACTATATTTTTTGCAAGAGGAAAGGGCTATGCTGGTCGTAGTAATAGAAGTTAATATCTAAATATATTATATTATAGTTGAATATCATGTTTAAATTAGTCACATATCTGTTAGTACTTCTTACTTCTCACTGAGATTGAACCAAGTAAGCTACTTAACTAAATATAAATATAATTTTTCTTTTCCAACATTTTGTTACTGAAGTACGTTGATTTTCTGTGTTCATTTTTTATTTCAATATATTAAATATTCACACAACAATAAACCACACATTTTTATGGCAGTTAATATTATTTATACTCTAACTATTATTATTATTATTATTATTATTATTATTATTATTATTATTATTATTATTATTATTACTATTATTATTATTATTATTATTATTATTATTATTATATTATTATATATAATTATATATATTCAATCATATATATTTATATATATATATGCAGTACTAATTTTCTATGTTTATTTTTTGTTTCAATATATTAAATATTCACACAACAGTAAACCAAACTCTCTCTGGTTCTGACATGTATATTAAAATAATAGTTAATCCTGGTATGGGAATACCTTTTGGCGGTGGGGATTATGGATACGCAGCAGATTATGACACGGAAACACAATTAGAAGACACACCTGTACGTGAAGATTCTGCTGTGCGTACAGATTCTGCTGTTCGTACGGAGTTTCCGGAAACATGGCTGTGGACAGATACAACTGTTGGGTAACCAATTTAACATAACTTAAATATCTCAATATTTTGAAAGTCCAATATAAAATAATTTTGTTTTATTGATACCTTATAGATTTTCTAAAATAACTACCAATACATGTTAACATTTTATTTAAAATACATAAAAAGGTCAGTAATATAATAATGAAAAGGAAATATACAGGCAATATAAACATAACTTGATAAATTGATACCCATACCTTTCAGATTGATATTAAAATTTAAAAAAAAAACAATAATTGAATAATTATAGAACATCAAGTTAATTCTAATCATTAGAAATAACAATTTCTAAAACCTATTCATTAAAACCTTGGTCCATTTCTTTCAAAGTAATTTATAATTTATAATTTTGATTTCTCTTCGGTCGTATGGCTATATTATTATTCAAGATTTGAGTCAACATAGTGATGTGAGCAAAAATGATTGTATAGAAGGTTTGAGAAACTTCTAAAGAAACTAATGAAAGCTGAATCAGATCTGAACTTCCTTAACCATTAGAAATAAACTTTTAATAAAAATAAACCTTACAATTCTAACTAAAAATATATCTAAATAATCCAAAGCTCAGCCAAAATAAAATATCCAATAATTTTTCTTCTCTTGTCTTAATTTTAGAGATGATGGAACTGTTTCCATCAACACTAAGGTCCCAGATACCATTACGTCTTGGATTGGAAGTGCCTTTGCTTTTTCTGATAATACAGGACTTGGAGTGGTGACAACTACATCAACGGTACATTCTATTATATATTTCTAAGACCAAGACTTACTTGAAAAACATGAAAAGAAAGTACAGATTAACACAAAAAAGTTTTACTCATTTTTCGTCAACTTTTATTCTAAACTTTGAGGATATACTGCCCAGTTTTTAAAAATTTATAATGACAAGCTATAACTGCAAATATATACGTTTTACTGTTCGTTTCTCTCATTTTAGGTGACAGTTTTCAAACCGTTCTTTGTTTCGTTAAACCTACCGTACTCAGTGATTCGAGGTGAAAACCTAGCATTAGAGATTTTAGTTTTTAATTATCAAACCAAAGACATTACTGTAAGTAAGGTTCGATTTTTTAAAAGACTGTTTAATTTTAAAACATTTATTTATGGTGAAATGGTAAAGAGAGTGATTCACACTGGTTTATCTTCCTCAAATATTGCTACCTTTTATTTCTATAATCTTCTTTGTTCCTTTAAATGGGGTTTTATTTACTACTGGTCCTTATATTGTAATACATTAAAGAATATTTAGTGTTGCAAAATATTCAGTTTTCTTTTTAAAAGCCACGCTTCTCGTTCCCTTAAATGAGGTTTTATTCACTACTGACCCTTATATTTTAATACATTAAAGAGTATTTAGTGTTGCGAAATAATCAGTTTTCTTTTTAAAAGCAAACTAAACAAAATATGATACTTTCTGTTAATTGTATGTTAGTCATTAATAAAATAATGAAATAAATTATTAATGCAAACACGAGTATACAATTTAGGAATAAACTCCTTTCTGATATGAAAATAGAAAGGACAAATTAATTAAATGTAAAATGGAATTAATGAAATCGGCAAGGCAGGGGCGGTGCTAAGTAAACCCTTAACATCGGCGCTGGTTCCAGCCGCTTCTCGGCTCCCCTGTCGGGGACATCGCCTCCCCCCACCCCGTCGGGCAAATCCTGGCGCCAACCCCTAATTCTCCTACCTTTACCTTTACCATCATAGTCAATCAAACTTAAATTAAAAATTTTGCAAAAATGACACTAGAGTAGAAATTCCATCTTTTCTTCTCGACTTCTATTAAAAAAGAACTCCTAAACAAAACATAGCAAAAAAATCTTCTACCTTTAAACTCTTCTACATTTAATAAATGTTAACTTATTTCTATCTTTGTTTATAGGAAATTTAAAATACTCTAACTTTGTGTATAAACTGTTCAAAATATTATTTTATAAAGGTCAGTTAATCTTAATCTAAGTTCTTTGATAAATCTGTATTTGTTTTCAATTTTTTGTTCAAACTAAACATAGTCAAATCCAATTGAATAAAGCAAATGTTTAACGTGCTTGGCCCAGCACGATTCATTTCTTTTAATGAAAAGAGTAGCCTAATATTTAAAAACAAGAAACCTATCTGTATCAATTGCAACAATATGTAACCAATAACGAAAAAGATAAATTGTGCAATAAAAATATAAAGAAATCTGCCAATTTCTGCAGTAACCGCTCTGTCGAGAATAAGAAACTACTAATATTTCTGAGTTTACTGCCAAATCTGGAAGGTGGTACTTTTAATTTATAGCGCCACCAATCGCCACTGCTCCAAACGTCTAGGGAAAAAAATCTCAGACGGGCACCTCACCAAGCAAGTGTATATTATGCACCTTTCATCAACGTTTTCATTTGTACTTGATACCATTGTACTTAAATAAAAATCGGTAATAATATCAATACAGGTACTCCTATTTGTATACAATTAATGTAATACTTCATTCATCACCATTTTATTTTAGGCTGAGATAATTCTCCACAAATCTGCGGATTTCGATAATATTGAATTCCAATCGACTAATAACAATTCAACCAATGTTGTTAGCAAAAACCAGGTAAGTCATCTTTATCAGCATAATTTGCTTTAATTCATTCTTTTTTATATCATAACAATTATGCTAGAGATAAACATGTATTTTACAAGGAGAGAAGCCTGATTGAAAACTACCAGAGACACAATGCCTCAATTATTCAGGTCTCAGAAACACGGTTGTTATTGAGAGTTTTACCAAACTTTACTAGGTTTCTCTGATTTTATTGACTTTTACTATTCGGTATAAAACATAATTTAAAAAAATAAAACAAATCACATATATTTAACGGCTGTAGACTAAACATTATTTATAGACTTAGAAGTAAAGAGGCACAATAACCCAGTCATTATATTTATTTTATTAATTTCTTTATTCAAATTTATTATATAGTGTCTATTTTATAGATCTTTAAATGCTTTTTCGATTAAATTCAGATTTAATATTAAAAAATGTCCAACCTTCTTTACCCTTTGAGAAGTATATTCCACCGTACATAAAAAGGTGTAGATCAATTTAATTTATTCACTTATTACCATGTACATATTTATCTTGCCGTCAGAATGACAAAGGTAGAGTAGATGTCTTGCCCATGTATCGCAAGCAAGAAGACAAACAACTTATCACATCCTTTTATTTAAACATTTGTTTGATATTAACACTATTACTGATAGTTAAACATTTGTTTGATATTAACACTATTACTGATATTTAATCTGTCTCTTTCTGCAGATCGTGAAAGCAACTATCACTGCTGGAGATGGTGTGTCAGTTTCTTTTGCTATAATTCCCAAGAATCTAAAACTGATGGACATTCATGTGTCTGCCCAGTCATCAACCGCCAGAGATAGTGTCATTCGACAGCTTTTAGTTGAGGTTATTTAAAAGTTCAAATATAATATTAATATTCCTTAAAGGTATTGTGTCTTATTATGGTCAAAAATGTAATTTACTCCTTCTCTTTCCTTAAATAATTGTAAAAACTCAAATGAGATACAAATTAAAACAATTGAGTTTCGCAGATTAATAGTAAATTTATCGAAATGTTGTTAGAAACTTGTTAAGTTTTATAAAAATGGTAATGGTAATGGTTTGAGACTTATATAGCGCATCATACATGGTCTCTATGCGCTCGGGACTAGATGTTGCACTTTACAACTTTATTACTGTATACTTAATTAAAAGAACGTCGATATAATGCCTAAATACCAATACCGTAATTCCTTTTCGTATTTTTACCAGCCCGAGGGAGTTATGGAGTCATACACTAATTCAGATTTTATTGATGTATCAAACGATGTCTACGTAACATCATTCCTAATTGATCTGCCGCCTCCATCTGGTCTAGTTGAGGATTCTGTTCGTGTGGTTTTGTCAGCAACAGGTAAGAAAACGTAACTATTATGTTTGCTCTTGTAACTTATAACCTTTGTATATACATACAAAGGTTAGCAAAGCGAACGAATCTTGAGTGCAAAATAATTGATATGATTTTTTTTTTAAATTGCTATACGATTGCATTTCATTTTTATTGTATATATGAGAGTTTATGAGAATGGTAAAAAAGAAAAAAGAAAATATAGAAAAAGGGGAAATATCAACAAATGCTGTAATGAAATATAAATGTACTGTTGGAAATTAATGCATTGATGAATAAAAGTGGTGGTAGTCATACCATAAAAGAGAAAAAAAGTGAACGAATGTTGCATTTGGAAGGACTATAAGATTAGGCAGATGGATTCAATCTAATATCTAATACCTACAATTATTAAAGAAAACAGTCACATGACACCTGCGACTCACGACATACCATCCGAACCTACTGAACAAGATGAGTTTGTAGACAATGTGAATAATTTTAGATACAAGGATGATTGCCAAATCGGAATCAGGAGTGAATCGTTTCCTACAAAATGTATCCTTAAGTAAAAGTGCATACTATCGAGACGGAGAAGAAAGATCACATGAACATAAAAAATACCAGTACATTGAAAGCCTTCACAACCAATTACATCACGGTGGCATCACTACCATAGAAAACAACCGAACATCTGGACGACAACCAAATACATGTTACAGCTGCGGAAACAGGGTCACAGACAAGACAATTTGAGATATAACCAATCTAAACCAAGATCATGGTATTATGAATGACCATTTTAACTTGTTTACTTAAATATTAAAGATCTCTGATACCTCAAATGTCTGAACTTGTAGTCTGGCAGCTAAACAAATGCAGCTATTATATCTATTTCGGAATCATGGCTTGACGATTCGGTCCTCGGTCAAGAGATAATGATTCAAGGTTATTCCATTCTCCGCAACGATAGAACAAGATCTGGTGGTGGTGTATGTGCATACATAAGAAATGACATCACATTAAACACGAGAACTGATTTACACAACGATCAAATTAAATCTTTATTGTTGGAAATCATACTTCCAAAATCAAAACAAATGGTTGATGTTTTTTATCGTCCTCCAAATGATAATGATTTTCTTGATCACTTTAAAAACACTTTGTCGAATGTCCCACCAGATTGTCAATTTTCCTGACAAGACTTTTAAACAATTGTTACGTTTTTAAATATTAAAAAAAAAACTATCAACAGCTTATTATCTCGCCGGCACGAATTACATGCAACACGAGTACGATATATATTATTTGTAATACCCCGGGAAAAAAAATCCAATTTAGTACTATTAATTTAGGATTAAGTGATTTCATTCTTATATATTGCACACGCAGAGTAGTGCGGAATTTGGTAAATCAACATAAAATTGTGAAAAATATGTCCTGCAGAAATATACTGCTATATGTTCATTTCATTGGTTCTTTAATGTTGACTGGTCTGCTGTACTTAACTATGGTAAGGCCAAAAAAATGAGTTTTTTTTACCCTCCTTTACCTGCCCCTAACTACTTGAAAAAAGGGGGCGCAAAAACAAAAAAAAAACATTAAAAAAGGTTTTTTTTTAGCTTTTATAATTTTTTTTCTTTACAAATTAAAAGAAAAGTGAGTGAATTTATCTATTTTTTGCCAGATGCATAGAGACAAGCATCTTTCCTTAATGAAAATTTTAGAAAAATAATATGTTCTGCTTTAATTTAATGTCATTTTGGCTATGCCTGCTCGCTTATCTTGGATTTCGGCAATCACACAACGATTTAAGAACAGCCCCAAGTTCAGCAAAATAATATGGTTAGTTTTGTCATGGGAGAAGGGAGAAGAACTCAAGTAGGGCAAAAAGAGATTGATAGCCTTGTTTTATTGAATGTCAAATATAGAGTTGCGCAGATTAAGTTAACCACAGTACTTAAAATCGTTTGTAAATCTGCTCTATCTTATTAAATGAACACTTCATCTTCAAAGTATGTGATCAGCACAGCCATAGCACACGCTAAAGTGAATCCAAATATATACCACCTAAATCATCAAAAACAATTGATGGCACATTTTATGCCTCTACTATTCAAGAATGGAACAGATTACCAAGCGAAATAAAGAGCACCATAACGGTATTAATCTCGTTAAAAACTATTTACCAACTCAGAGAGGGAGGGGTGATGGCGCTTCGATCTTTTTTGGATTCATGAATCTCTTTGATTTCAGGACCCCAATTAAAATAAACATGTGTAATTGGTTTTCTTGGGGTATGCTGGTAAAAATAAACTTGTTAGGTTTTAACAATGCTGCTTTTTTAATTGTTTTTTAAGTAATTTTGTACTTAAAGGTCTTTATCGGTGTATTTACTATTAAAAAATTCTTTTTTAAGATGATTTTTAAAACAAAGCGTTTTACTCAATTTCATGCAATTTTTGCGACATCTGTTTTTATCTTTTTATCTATTTTATGATGCTTCCGTGATTTGTATGTTGATTTTTACGGAATAAATGAAAGGATGAGTGAATTTAGCCTAAAATGTTGCATAAATAAATACAATACAATACATTTAAGTAAAGTGAAATAAACTATTACTTTGTTCTTACCAAATATTTTGTAACACCTTAAAAACGTTTGGCAGACTAAATGCAGCAGCCATCCACGATACAGCAACCAAGCACAAACATAATAAAAAATATTGTAGCTCACAGCATTTATCAAACTTTCTGTAAGTGACAGGATAATATTAAGAACCTTTACTTTTATAGTTCCTTCTATTTGATATTTTGGTTTTTTTTAGGTGACATAATGGGTCCAACCATTAGCGGATTGGACAAACTGCTGCGTATGCCCTCAGGCTGTGGAGAACAGAATATGATAGTCTTCGCTCCAGATGTCTTTATCTATGATTACCTAGAGAACACCAATCAAAATAATCTTGAAATAAAGACAATGGCTCTCCGTTTTATGAACATAGGTAAATTTACATCAGGTTATTCATTTGTCAGGGCCAAACACATAATCGAGATGTATAAAATCACGATTTGTTTGATACTGGTGATTTTGACAAATTTTACAGTCAAAACAGAAGGGGAACATTAAGATCCAAAATACAAGACTGAAAATTCACGTTTACATCAACTTTTTTTAAATTTTCAATTTCAATTACAATAGAATAAATAATAATAAATACATTTTACTTAATAAAATTATCATCAATGTTTTTCCTATTATTGTTAATAACAGTAATAATACTATTTTTAGTGATGTTTTTGTTGTGGTTGTTGGTGGTGTTGTTGTAAAGTAAGTACACATCGATTTAAATATTATACTTTAAATAAAATAACCAATCAATCAATTTTTTTCCTATTAATTAGTATTGATATTATTTTTAGGGATGTTGTTTTTGTTGTGGTGATGTTGATAGTAATCGTTTTCACTATCATACACACATCCATTTAATAGTTATAATGTATGTTTTCAGGCTACCAAAAGGAACTTACTTTTCAGCACATAGATGGCTCTTTTAGTGCCTTTGGTGAAAGTGATTTCCATGGCAGTACTTGGTTGACAGCTTTCGTGGTGAAATCATTTGTCCAAGCTCAGGAGTACATATTTATTGATTACAAACTTGTGGAGAAGGCTGTTAATTGGATACTGACACAGCAGAATGAAGATGGATCATTCCGGGAACCAGGAAAGATAATTCACAGAGATATGCAGGTTAGAAAATATCCTACAGCACCAGTAGTTGTCTTTGAAACCAGAAATCATTTAATGTTTTATTCTGGGAATTACCATTTTGTATATTAATTATTGTTAATATAATTATGATTTACATATTGATAGAATATTTGTTAATTGATTTAGTTTTGTCCTCAGCCTAGGCGCCATATAAGTCAATTGTATTACCTGTATTATTATTGTCATTACAAAACTAATAACTTCCGAAATGATATTCTTTGTAGCTAAACACGGTATATTTTCAATATATGAAATAAGCTCATTCGGAGTATGCGCGTATTAAGATCAATCGACATAAGTAAACATAGGTCTACACACAACATAGGTTTATGTCCATTGAACTTGGATACGGACATGCGCAGTTCAAACTACAATTTGGCTTATATATTCTATTATTTTAGGGTGGTTTATCTGGACCAGTGACCCTTACATCTTATGTGTTGGTGGCTTTGCAAGAAGCTAAAAAGGGGAAAGGGTTCTCTCAGGTAAGTCTTCGGTCATATTAGTGAGCATGTTGCACACTAGACTGCTTAAGAGGACAGTGAAAATTGGTGTAAGCACAACTCTTGTGCCGAAAAGTTTTTTTAGGCCTGAGTGTACCATGAAGTAATACTTACATTTAGAAACGTTCCTCAATCTTAAAGTGTTGATGAAAAATATAAGCTGAATTGATTACTTTATTTCAGACTACTTTGGACTTGCTTGGAAGTTCTGTTAATAAGGCTGCATCCTACATTGCTTCTAAGTTATACAACTTCAACTCTGATCCGTATGTATTGGCCATTACCACGTATGCTCTTACTTTAATCGGCCATCCAAATAAAAACGTATTCCTTGCTGTATTTGAGGAATTGGCAATTGTTGAAGGTAACCACAATTAATATTTACTTAATAATAGATAAAACTGGTTTAAAAAGCTGCCTTAGTGAATAAGTCCTTTCAAATTACTTGCCGCGTCATGGGGCTGTACCGTACTTACAAAAGTAATGTCGATCAAGGCGCTATGTACCGTACTATGCATAATATGGCATCGAATCTTACGAAAATCCTTCTTATCTCTGTTATTCAACTTTGCCATGACATTGCCTGTCATTGGAACGATTGCTTTAATATAAATGATTATGCCTTTTTTCTTGGCAAACAGAAACTAAAGTTTTTTTGATACAATTACAGTGATATGTTTGGGAAAGATGAGGGTTACACATTTAGCTGACTTAAATTTTTTTTAATTGTTAATGTTAACAAAATAATACTTGCTTGAATGTCTATTTAATTTTAATTAAATATTTTGTATAGGAATAATTAATCAGCACACTCTTATTATTAGGAGTGATGTCTTGCTAACCTCGTGTTATCGTACTGTGTGCTCTGTATCTCCCCAAATACTTGAGGAAAAACAAACTCTCACTAATGGTTTGGGTGGGCATCGAACGCACAACTACTAGAACTAGTTTTCTGTCATCACTGGAACAATATACTACTGTTGTTGTTTTAGTAACATTTATTTTGATTTCATCATCATTTCTTTGTATTTTCATTGCAAAGTTTTGTTACAATTTAGTTTAATTTATGTGGTAACAATTTAGTTCCATAATTATATTGTTTTGACCAATAGGAGATGATAATAAGGAAACGGAGTCTTGATACGTTTGTGAAAATTGCTCCTTAGCATAATTAATATTGCAGTGATTAGAAAATGTATGCTAAAAACCATCATACTGTTTGGCCACGTATTAACAAACGCTTATTAACAAAACCTTTTTAATACTGTACACGTGTACGAAAGGCAAAAATGAACACATTAAGCACGCTGCACAGGGCAATGGTTTGACGATTTCTTTACCCGAAAGGGTTTAAAATTGCATTTGTTTTAACTATCAATCATCAGTGAGAACTATTAAAAATACATTTCCAATTTATGCATAATAATTTAAAAGTAAAATAAGTCCACTAGCAAGCATATTTAATCAATGAAGTTTAACAAGTCTTTGATACACCAGGTACCATATTTTTTCAGCTCAAAAATTATACTCGCCAATCCCTGGGCAATTTTAAATCGTACTTTATTATGGGTTTTTAGCCCTAATAAAACGCTTATTTCTTACATTTTCACATCAGCATAATATGTATTTTTAAGGTTTTATGTACATATAAGTTATATTACAATTCATTTTCTAAAGTATTGACACTTTAACTTTAACAATGCGTCTACTGCGCACTAACCATTAACGCATTGACCAAGATAGACGCCCCTGGTGTTCACGTGATTTCAGAAGTCGACTTCCTGAAAGCCTTTAATAGGATGGACAAGTGACAAAAGAAAATTTTATCCAGTCGGATTAGTTCGATTTCCGTTGCCGGTTCAACGTAAGCAATCAGATTGGTGTAGGCAAAGTTATCATGTTGTACAGAAACGCCTCTTCAAAGATCAGATAAAATCCCGCTGAAAACAGAATAATATTGCATATATTTTTTTTTTTGCACTAATTTTTTGAAAAAGTATTTTTGTAAATTGTTTGAATTAGCTTTATTTTTAACATTCCATAAACCGTTTCAACCTTTGCGCAAGGCTCGCTCCAAACCAAAGAAACCTTGGATTACTGTAGAAATCTTAAAACTGTCCAGGAGGAAATCCAGGTTATATAAAGCTGCAATTAAAGCTAAAAACCTTCTTAAACCCCATGCACAGACTAAATGGAATGACTTCAAGTCTGTTAGAAATCACCTATGTTACTTAATAAAGTCTTCGTATCGTGACTACATCACCAACCAAAATTATAAACAAATGTAACCCCAAAAACAACAAGGCCTTCTGGTCTTATGTAAGGAGTTGTAGAGCAAAGCCGACAACCACAAGTTTTAAAATTAATGAATCTTATACTGACGATCCGAGTAAAATTGCCCAAGCCTTTAATGAACACTTCTCTTCAAATTTTAGTAGCCGGTCCTACAAGGACATTCCTTCCCCTACTGACATTAGGCCTTCTGAACTGGATGAAGTTCCTCCAATTCAAACCTCACCGCAGATGGTTCTCCAATTGATTAACAAATTGAAGTTCGGGAAGTCCCCCGGATCTGACAATATTACAACTTCTATGTTGAAATTAAGTGCTATATATGTATGTGAGCCATTATCTAAAATGTTTAATATCTTAATTGATAAAGGTATGTTACCAGACGATTGGAAACATGCCAATATAGTTCCAGTGTATAAAAAGGGAGAGCGAGCTTGTGTTCGGAATTACAGACCAATATCTCTCTGCTCTGTTGTAGGCAAAATGCTCGAAAAGAGTAGTAGTTGACAACATTACATCATTTATGTTAGACAAAGGGCTTGTCTCCAGTTTTCAACATGGATTCATTAAGGGCCGTTCTTGTTCTACTCTCTTGTCGTCAGTGATTCACCATTGGTCAGCAATTCTTGACTCAAGATCCCCTCCCCATATTGACGTAGTGTTTCTAGATTGGAGCTCTGCATTTGACCGGGTTGATCATTCCGCTCTTCTGGCTAAACTTTATAATTATGGATTTTGTGTCTCGCTCTGGAGGTGGCTTCATTCTTTTCTTATTGGGCGCTCTCAAACTGTTCTTTTTCGGGGTCAATCTTCTCCTGTTGCCCCTGTGACCTCTGGGGTCCCCCAGGGGTCAGTCCTCGGGCCTATTC